TCTTAAAAATTAAGTGGCGACTCTTAAACCGGTCCAATATATATTTTCCTATAAAACATTAAGGATGCTATATACAGACACTCACACAAAATTGGTGAAAGGTGTAGTAGACCACATTAACTTATTTCAAAATACAAACATTATTATAATTGACGATAGAGGACAAAGTGCAATGCACGTGTCCAGAAACTAGTAAAGTAAAATGGAGAAATTCTTACAGGAACTACGAGCTATACAAGCAAATATATTCAATGTTGTGTCTCGTTATCAGGGGAAAAAACATATTCAATGCCTCGTCCTATATTTGACAGAAAAAGAATTGCAAAAAGAGCATACAAGCTAAACTAAGCAGAATTCTTACCAGAAATCGTAAGGGATTAACAATGCTTCCTGCATAGAATTCTACTGGATCGCATCCCACAACATCAATAGTGTGCTCTAGCTTTCTTGTTGAACCCCCAAACATCAGTATAACTCCGGGAAGGGAAAGTAAAATGTCGCCCTTGGTTGAGTGGCGAAGATGTGTAGAGAATGGGTAAGTAGTTGGAGAACCCATATGTATCCCAGCATTTTGAGGATATTCAATTCTGAACTGTTTCGTCCAAGATACATGTAAGCCGCTATTCTTCAAATTCCAGACATCTGAAGTAGTAGCAACTAAATTAGCAGTGTAAATCATAGAAAGCTCATTTCCAACAGCTCCCAATTTGAAATTTGAATTGTCTTCTCCACAAATGGGAAGCTCCAAGCTACCCCATGTCTCGGCCGCTACATCAAAAGAAATGATCTTGCGCACATTGATATCACAAAAACTAGTAGATGCAGTCCAATAAAGCTTCCCGTTGACAAATTTAGCCGGAAGATTTATTAGAAAGAAGCCCTTAAGCTGGTCATGGAGTGTTTTCCAAGAATCCGTCCTCAAACTATAAATGTTGACCACATAACTCAGGTCGGATTCATCATCAATAAACAGAGCTTTGTAATCATCACGTGATTCATCATATCCAAAACCATATTTCATATAGAAAGAGGAATCCCATGGCAAATTAAGTAGTTTCTTTGACTTGCTAATGGTGGGGTTCCATATATATATCTCCCCTTTGTAATTGTACAGACAAATTAGCCCATTGGCAGTACCCACAACGGAAGATATTAAAGCGATGGAACCCATTTGAACAGTGGATGGGAGGAGAGAACTAAAGTTGAAATTTCCATTGATGCCTGGAAACAGAACTCTATGAATTGAGTTTAATTTGAGATGTGTATTAACGAAATCAGGGCTAGATATGAGTTGATGCCATGATTTCGAAACGGACATACATTTCAAGAGAGATTTGGGGGGAAGCCTTAAGAGTATGTCTATTATGATTTCATTTGGAATTTCGGAATCAGTTGTTGTACAAGTTGGAGTGAAGACGAAATCATATCATGAGAAGAATTTGAGAAGAATTATGTGAATTGCCTGATGAATCCAATCCCGAAAAGAAACAAATGGAAACATCGCCGCCGGATGTTTTTCTGTCAAGTGAAAAGAGCAAAGCAGAAAGTGATTTTTCTGTGAAGTGAGGCAGCAGCAGCAGAAGCAGAAGCAGAGCAGGTAGTGAAGTAGCATAATTTCCTAATATTGACTGATATTTAGACCTACGCCTACCAAACATTTTTTTTTTAATTTAATTTTTTTGAAAAAAATATAATCCATATATGAGGTATATTTGATCCTCCTCACACATATTTTTTTTTGACTTTTTTGTTTCAACGACTAATTTAAATCCATATGGTCAAATTTATTTATGTTTCACTAATTTTCTTGTAAAATTTATTATAGATTCCCCATTCTTTATTTTACTTTTACAAATGCAAAAACTAAATTAAAGTATAGCCGCAAAAAAATTAGTTTTAAATTTTTTCTTTACACTAAAGAATGAAAGAAAAAAAGAATAAGAAACTCGAATAATAATAATCAAAGAAGTCAAAAAATAATTTTTGTATGAAAAAGATTAAAATATACCTTGAATTTGGCCAGAAAAATCATATATATACCCTTACATGATTCTTTTAAAAATTTAAAATAAAAAATATAAATTTAAAACTAATTTTTTCACTTCCGTTAGATGAAGGGTATATGTGAGTTCTTTTTTTAACAACAAGGTTTCCTTTAACATTCTTTGTGTACTAGTCTAGTCGGAATCAAGTTATGTGAATCCTCTATATATCCATTTTCCTTCATTTGGACCTGTTTCATTTCAATACTCAACAATATCGGGTTCTCTTCACATTCTAGAGACATTCAAATATCTAATTAGACGGAAAAAAAAGGTTTATACCAAACCAAGTTTTTAACACAATTGTTATCAGGATTCTAGTTTATAGCAAATGATTGTAAATCTGATAACGAGATAGAACTACAAGTCTAATACAAAAGAAAACAGATCATGACAAGGCTTCATCATTTCGATCCATGAACTCAGCAGCAACTAATCAAACATTTCTCATTAGCTAAACTCCTTAATTCACATCTAACCAGCACTATGTTGAAACTTCAGACATACTGATTATTGCATCTATTACTCAACAATTCGAATGTTCTTTTCTTTTCTGTCTACTTATAATCAAGAAAATATGATTGAAGCCTCTCACAGGTCCTACCCTTATTTAGGAAAAGGAAGCCTTTTATGACACGGTAATTAAGTTCCAATATCAGGAAAAAATATATTCAATGTATGTCTTGTCCTATATTTGGCATCAAAAAAAGGTGCAAAAAGACCATAACAAGCTAAACTAAGCACAACCCTTACAAATTATCAGCTATGTGACGATTGCGGAGATTCCTGGTTATGACGTCCCTGGTCAGATATCGTCAGGGGATTAACAA